CCACCTGGAGAGGGAGGGCAGCCACAGGGGCCATCAGGGGCTGCGGGTGGCTGCTGGGCACTGAGGACCCAGATCCTCAGACGCAAGGCCGATGGGCAGAACTTCTCTGGCTGCAGTGCGCCAGCCCCCTGCCCTGCCAAAGAGGTAGGGTCGGGGGAACCAGCCCTCACAGAGCAGACAGAAGCTGCCAGAACGGGCGGCAGTGTAAGAAAAAAGCAAAAGCTACCAACGGACTTTAGAAAAGGCACCAGTAGCTTTTCTGAGGCGCTGGTTTACCTGCAGATTTCCCTCAGAAACTGGAGGCCTGGGAGCGGGTGGGTCGGGGCTCGGTGAGGGCCACACACACACACACACACACACACACACACACACACACAATTTCTAAGCAGGAGGCATTGAGCCCAAAGGGCCGGGACCAAATCCAGCCCCTCCTCCCACCCACTTTACAGATTAGAAAACTGAAAAAAAAAAAACAAAACAGAGAGGGAAGTAAAGAGTTTAAAGTCACAAGCAAGAAAAACTCCACTTTATGCCGCCAGCCATACTGCTTCGGAGCATATTTAGAGCCGAAAGGTGTTTTGCGAACATCTGGCCCGCGATATCTTTTCATGGTGCGGAAGAGGAAGCCAGGGCGTGGGGGTGGGGTGGGGGGGTTCTGGTTCTGGTTCCTCCGTCCTTATCTGTAAGATGGGAACGTACACAGCCCACTTCACAGGGCTGAAGACTGAATAAGCCAATCAACGTTGTTACTGTCATTTATTATTAGCAAAACTGCCACATGAGCCTTCTGATGGTCCTGCCAGCCAGCAGGTCAAGCCTTTGTGGACTGGCCCTCATCACTGTTGCTCTCCGTGCACAGACACAGAAATGGTCCAAGGCACCATCCAGCAAGAGGCCCTGCCCCCCCCAACCCCCCCCCCCCATCTCTCCCTCTTCTGAAAGTAGGTTAGGTCTGACCTCTCCAGAAGGATCTGGAGAAAATGATGAAGACTAAGGAAGGGCTCTGGAACCAGACACTGACTGGCTCCACCGTTGTGTGACCTTGGGCCGATTTCTTAACCACTCTGAACATTGGTTTCCTCCTCTGTAAAAGGGGGATAAAATGGTTACCTCCCTTATGGAGATTCAGTGAGGATTAAACGAGCTAATGCACAGTGCCCGACACACGGTAAGTGCTCTGTAGGCATGAGCTATAATGTTATCAAGGCCAGGGTCCCCTGTGACCATGGCCAGGGTGCTCCTTACCCCCATCTTCCCACTCCAAGTTGGAGGCAGGGAACAAGCTGGCCAGACCAGCTGAAGGATACGGTTCATGTCAAAGAACTGCTGATGGAATCAATCTTAAAGCTTCATTTTCCACATACGTTAAATTAATGCAAACAAGGGACTTGAAACATGCATGTGTGGCTGGTTCAACCCTTTTGGAAAGTGGTTCTTGGCCGCAGCCATACGAAATCAATATCCTCTGACCCAGTAATACCTCTCCTGGGAATTTAGCCTAAAGAAATAATTCAACAGACTTAAAAAGAAAAAAAAAAAACCTATCTGCATGAAATTGATCCTGCAATGAGCATCTAGAAGCACAATAATTAGGAACAACCGACATCTCCAGTAACAAGAGATAGGCAGGGGATGGATGGGTGGTGGAGCCAGAGATGGATTCTGGCACGTTACTGCCATCATTAAAATGGTAATTACCAGCAACTGGTAATTCTGGAGCAATGTCTACATCTGGATAAAGGACCAGAAGGGGCTGCAAAAACGGATAAAATGGCGGAATGAAATGCGATTTTCCCCCCCAAAACACATTTTGACTTTTTTCAATTAACAGCGACAACAATAACAACAGAAATAAGAACACAGGAAAGGCAAGGAATTTCTCCTAAGCTCTCAAACGTGGCTCTCACTTGAGGCCACAGGGAGAGGCTGGGCCAGGGTGACCTCCCCTCCCCTTTGGTAGAAGGCTGGTGGGGTGAGGGAGGGGGGGATACAGAGGCCTGCCAGGTGGGGACAGGCAGGGATGTGCAGAGGGCTATGGGAGCAGGGATGGGGGTAGGAAAAGGAAAGTGTGCAATCAGGGAGGGCCTCTGGGAGGAGGTGTCCTAAGAGCAGACTCTTAGATGATGAGTATGGATACTCTAGGGGTAATCTGGGCAGAGGCAAGAAGGAAGTGGGAGATGGGCCAGCTCTGTAATGAGAGCCTAGGAGCAGGCTGAGGGGTTTGCACCAAGAGGAAGCGCCATGATTGGCTTAAGGAAGATCTCTGGGGCTTAAGGAAGATGGATGGAGGGGTGTGCCTGGGGGTGGGAGACAATGAAGCAGGCTGCTGCAAGCATCCAGAGAGGTGAGGTCCCCAGGAAGGAGGAGGGCAGAGGAGGAGCTAACCGCGGCTTATCAGAGCACCCCTGGAAAGCAGGTTGGCAGAGGACCGAGACCAGGTTGGGGGACCATGAGGGCAGGGGGCTGGTGTGATGTCCAGAGGAGGTGCTCAGGAAGCAGTTGGATCCATCGGTCTGGAGCTCGGGAAAGAAACCTGGGCTGGGCGAAGTTGGCTGGGTGTTGGGAGCCCCGGGGTGTGGTTGAATTCACCCAGGGAAAGTGAGAGGAGACCCAGGGGGCAGGCAACCAATAAGGGAGGAGGACCCCGAAAGGGGACACAGAAGCAGAGAGGGAGGAGGAGCAGGTAAGAGGTGTCTAGAAGCCCAGGGCATGGAGATCTTTAGGAGGGAACGATCACTGGGGTCAGATGTTGGCGCTGCGCTCAACAACATAAGGGCAGAATCGTCCCCGTTCAATTGATCAGCTGGAGTGACGGCCCCAGAGCACTTTCAGTGAGCTGTAAAAGGAGAGAGGTGAGTGGCGAGAAAATAGGCCCTGAGGATCTGCGGGCACGCTTTTGAGGATCTTGGACGAAGAAGAGGGGAGGAAGATGACAGTAGCTAAGAAGAGCACACGGTGCCGCCAAGATCAGTAGTCTGACCCCACAACTGGCAGCGTCCAGACCCCAGCGCCTCCCAAAGACCCCAGAGAGACTGTCTCTGGCTGCTGCCATGCTCAGAAAGCAGATCTGGTGGGCAAGCAGACCCCCGCCTCTCTCCCTCCATGCCCACCACACTCAGAAAGCAGGAGGGCGGTGTGCAGAGGGAAGCCAGGGCTCTCCCAGCCCGGGGAAGCTGATCTGGTGCCAAATCCCAGGCGCCAGGATCCCCACCCCCGCCCCCAACCTCAGCAGGCTAAGTGGAGGGGAGCCCACTCTGCCAAATGCACAGGTGCTGGGGGAACAGGTCCAGGGCAAGCCCCGCCCCGCCAGCCCCAGGCGTGGGAGGAACCACGGAGCCATCTGGGTGTGGAGGCAGGGGCCCGGGCAGGCCAGAGGAAGTTTATCGAAAACCGAATCTTTTTTTTTTTTTTTCTACATTAACAAAGTCTTTTTCCTAAAAGGTGGGGGGGGGGGGGGGGGGGGCTGTTCCCATTTTGATCTTTGGCTACTTAAAAAATTAGCAATATGCTAGCCTAATGATAAAAACACTCAAATTGATGGAGCACATTTCCTCCAGACACTGTTCTGGGCCGTTCACAAAGATTAACTCACTTACTCTTCCTAAAGCCCTGACGAAGTAGGTGTTTATCATTGTCCCCGTTTCACAGGTGAGGACACTGAGGCTCCCCTTCATGGTTGAATGTCAGCGTTTCTCCGATTACCTTCCTGCTCTTGGCTCTCGCATCCTAGAAATGTCCCAGAGGCGGAGGCGGGTAGGAAGAGGGGATGTGGGCCTGATAAGCCTCTGGGACTTTCCTCCTTCCCCTGTCACTCACCTTAGGAGGGCCCTGAGCCCCGGGTGTCTCACCAGGAGACTGAGAGGGCTGGCTGTGATGGCCTGGCTGCACTGTGACACCCCGCGAGGCGGGCGCTGACCCCAGCACGGACTCCCTGGCGGGTCACTGGGCCACGGCCATGGCCAGCCTTCCACACAGGCATCATTTGTGCTGCTGGGCCAGAGGCTGATCTATGGGAGCCACGAAGTGGGGGGAGTCCCTACTCTCCCTTCCTTCCAGCCTCTCCTCCCTCTGCCTTGGCCAGGTGCACTCGGTCAGGGGAAAATATTAAAGGAGCCTTTGGCCTCTTTCCACAGACTCCGTTTTGTTGCTAACCCCCTCCCCTGCAATCTGGAAATCACGGAGGGCTGCCGGTGGTCAGTGTCTTGCAGCTGTGTGCCCAGCTCCCCCTCGGGGGGGGGGGGTAGGCAAATGGGTTTTCACAGGGAGGCAGGAGTCTGGAGACTTCAGATGAGAAACCACTGGCCGGGGATCACACCGCAGCCGCAGCCGAGAGCAGACTCCCTTTGTTAGATCCCTCGCGTCTGACCTGAGCCAGGGACCGCCGGAAAGGCTGTGTGGACCAGGGAGTCGGAAGGAGAGGCTATTCTCCGCTCAGTCCCCACCCCAGAGCAGCTGGCTTCCAGGTATTGGAGGCTAAGGCCAGCGCTATCCAAGTTCCGGCTCTTGGGTCCGCGGTCTGAGCCGGGGCGGGCGGGGGACATGGGGATGGGGAGCAGCGCTGAGGGGCAGCCGGATTTGGCTTACGGACACGCCCTTCTCTGCTCTTCAGCAGGACAGCAGGTTCCCGAGCCCCCCCCCGACAGCGCTTCCTATCTCCTGACCACGGGAAGTGAGCGGGACTGGTCCTGCTCTGGGGGTGTCTGGAAGAAAGAAATGAAACGGGCATTTAAGGAGGTCCTAGTATGTGCTGAGCATTTTCACATACCTACATTTTACTAAACCCTCGCTACAAGTGGGCACTCACGCCCATTTCACAGATGTCCAAACCGAGGCTTACGGCAGTGGTGCCTGGAGAAAAGGGGAGGGGAACGCGCCTTTGGCGCGCGCCCCCCGCGCCTCGGTCTCGGCGTCGGCCACCGCCAGCCTCCCCTTTCCGCCGCGGGCCGCCCGCGAGCCGCCCCTCCCACCCCCGCCCGCCCCCGACGGCGCGCGGCTCTCACCTCGATGCGGTCCAGGCGGTCCCGGAGGGCCCGCACGGCGTCCTCCAGCTCGAGGATGAGCGCCGGCGAGTCCCAGGGCCCGTCGGCCATGGCGTCGCGGCGGGGCCCGGCGTCCTGGAGGCCGCGCGGCAGGCCGCTCTCGCAGCGGCCCAGCTTGCCGGTGAGCTCGCGGATGGTGTCCTGGTCGGCGCGGATGCGCGCCTCCTGCTGCAGCGCCGTCTGGCGCAGCTGCTCGGCGGTGCTCTGCAGCAGCAGCAGCTCCTCGCGCTCGCCGGCCGCCGCGTCGCCCTGCTCGGCCCCCGACGACGGGCAGGCGGCCGCCAGCGGCGTGCACAGGAAGCGGCTGAAGAGGGGCGCGGGCGGCAGCGGGTGCGCGCTGGCCGCCGGCGCCCCGGGCAGCGCGGGGGGCCCGGCCGAGCCGCCCGCGCCGTGCAGCGCGCTCAGGCTGCGCTGCGGGCCCGGGGACGCGGCGGCGGCGGCGCCGGCCGAGGCGGCCGAGGCGTTGTCGGCGCCGCCGGGCAGCGCCCGCGCCGGGCTGGCCGCCAGGGGCACGCTGGCGATGATGCAGATGACGGCACCGAGGAACGCCAGCATGCCCGCGGCCAGCAGCACGGCCAGGAACTTCAGCGTGAGGCGGGCGGCGGGGGCGCCCGAGGCCCCCCGGCAGACGCGGCGGCGGGGTCGGGGCGCGGGGCCCGGGCGCGCGGGGCAGAGCGGGAGCCGGAGCCGGAGCTGTTGCCGCGGCCGCTGCTGCCGCCGCTCTGAGCCCGGGCGGCGCGAGGAAGAGAAGGCGGCGGGCGGCGGGGAGGGGGAGCGGGCGCGGCGGCCCCGCCCCGCCTGCTCCCCCGGGGCCGGCCGTGGCCCAGCCCCGCACCCGTTCCGTGCCGGGCGCCCAGGCCCGGGCGCCGCCGAGAGCTCGAGCCGGCCACCCGCACAGCGCCGGCGGGGGGGCGGGGGAGGGGGGGCGGCGACCCGATGGCCGCGCGGCGGGACTCCTCGGGGACCCCCAGCCGCTCCCCCTCCCGTGCTCTGGCCCCCTCCCCCCTCCCCGAACCCGTAATGCTGCCAGCTACCTTGCGGGGAGTTTTTCTTCGTGCCGGGCCCAGTGCCGAGCGAGCTACGCAATTAAGCCTCGGGCGCAATTAAGGCTCAAGGTGGAAGTGCTCCCGGTGGAAATGAGGGGACCGAGGCCCACCGAGGTCAGGTCGCTGTCCAAGGTCACACAACTAGGATGCGTTGGAACAGCCTTTGAGTTCGGGTGCTTCTGAAGGGACTCAGGCTGTGGGATGGAGCTGGGGTGGGCGTGGGAGGGAGAAGAAAAACAGAGGTCAGTATTGGGGACAGGGGACTGGGGATTTTGAGCCCACCTCTTCTTATACTGTGGCCACCTGCCTGTCACTTCCCACCTCCAAACTTCAGGAGTAGAGTTCACACACACACACACACACACACACACACAGAGCAAAGACAAAGAAACAAAAACTTCCTGTGATCTCAGAGGATAGCAAAAGTTTCCTCTTCTGAATCTTCAGGGGTCCCAGAGAAGACCCCTCTCCCCACTTCAGTCTACATTAGGAAGGCAAAATCCTGGTGAGCAGGTGGACCAGGCACTAGAAGGAACCAGAAGGAATGGGAGTGAGCTGTGGTGTGGGGGTGGTTGAGGAGACTTGTACTTTTCGCCTATCAAAAATCTCTCTATGTTTTGTTGCAATGACTTTTTGCAATTAAAAACTTAAAAAGAAAATCCTACCATCCTTCACAATTCAGGTCCCCCTCCAATTTTCCACAAGGCATTTTCTGACCGGCGTGGGTTCCCGGGGCTGGAAGGGCACTCGGAAGGCTGTGGATGCCCATGCTGCAGCCTAGAGTGGAGGAGAGGGGCTATGGCTCCTGGGAGTCCCCAGCCAAGGCCACACCGAGGTCAGTCCTGAGCCTAAGCCACACCCAGGCCTGTCTCCCTTCCTAGCCTCCCCTTCGGGACTTCAGGAGAAGGCACAGACTGGGGCTCTGAGCCACCAAGGCTACTGTGTGGTCTCTGCATCATGCTGGTGGTGGGGAGAGGCCAGAACGTTTCTCAGAAGGCCACAGCCCTGGGCACCCTCTTGAACCACTGGGATCCAGAGATCCCATGCTCCACACATGCCACCCTGCCCCCCGCCCCGGCATGATGTCTGCCCTGCTCACCAGACCTCTGGGAGTCAAGGATCACGAGCTGTAAAGTGGGAACAAAGCAAATGCAAGCTCTGTGCATGATGAGCCCCCACAGCCTTATGCACGTGGACATGAATTTGAACTTTTTTTGACCCGCCCGGGGTCACAGCTTGGAGGAAGCATCTCCCTGATGGACAGGTGAGCCAGGCTCTCTGAAGGCGAAGGCAGGCCGAAGGAGACCCATGAGGCCCTGAAGGTGCATCTACACGTGTTCTGTGAGGACAGAAACACACAAAACGTCCGAGGAGAAACTCACAGAACGTCCAGGGAAGGACAGGGAAGGCCGAGAGACGGGGCTGCCACCGCCAAGGGCAGCAGGGCCACTGTGGCTTGGGTGCCCAATGGTGACACTTTTATATGAGCTGCCCCATGAGATCTGAGGACAGTTGGATAAATGGGTCCAGAGGCTCGAGTCTAATCTTGTTGAAACTGGTCTGTTTATCCCCTAAACTGGCTTTTTACTTTTTTAGAAAATTTTTAATGTTTTATTTATTTCTGAGAGAGAAAGACAGCATGAACAGGGGAGGGTCAGAGAAAGAGGGAGACACAGAATCTGAAACAGGCTCCAGGCTCTGAGCTGTCAGCACAGAGCCCGACGCAGAGTTTGAACCCACGAACTGTGAGATCATGACCTGAGCTGAAGTCGGACGCTTAACCAACTGAGCCACTCAGGCGCCCCATAAACTGGCTTTTTAAACCTCTGGTAGGAACGTGCCATTCTCCTGTTTATAAACCCATAGGTGGCTCCCCATCCCTTATGGAATAAATTCCAACCCCCTTAAGGGGCAGTATTGCCTAGTGTTCAAGGGTATGGGTTCTAGAGCCAGAAGTGCCTAATTCTAACCCTGCCTGTCCCCATTACCAGTTGTGTGACATCGTTTGCAGGGAGAGTAAAGTCTCAGCAGGTTTTTCCCAATTCTTGACACCCTCTCTCTGTGCCTCAGTTTTCTAATCTATAAAATGGGGAATAACAGTAATACACGGAAAGCCTCAATAAATGCCAGGCCTTATGCTGGCTTCTCTTGGCTTGTAAGACTGTTGGTAATCTGGACACCGCTCACCCCTCCAGCCCTCATCTCCTGTCTCTCCCTGTCTGGAGCAATATCAAACTGTGCATAATTCCCCCAACACACCAGAATGTTTCTTGGCCTGCTGCCTGGAGTGGCTCCCCTTCCTTGGCTCATCTCTATCCTCAACATTCAGCACGGGGCCCCTGCTCAGGGTAGCTTCTTGGTAAATGTTTCCAGAACTAGTTCCCCCACAGGCAAGGCTGGAGGCAGAGGCAGGAGGCCAGGACAGGCCTGAAACTCAGTTCTCCGGGGCTGTGGGAGAGATGCCCCCCTCCAGGCCTAACACAGAATTTCTCCAGAGATGGTCAGAGACAGATTCTCAGGGGGAACTTCCCTCAGAATTCAATTGTCCCCACATTTCCCCTCTAAAGTCTCATGTCTCTTAGATTTTTTATTTCTTCACTTATGTTCCACTCGCTAAGGGAATTCTGCCCTAAATAAACAAATATAGTTATTCATTCAAAATATATGTTTTGAGACCGACTTTGTGCCAGGCATAATGCCAGGCCCAGGGGAGAGCTGGAAACGAGACAGGCTCACAGTTCATATTCTAGTGGGGAGGCAAGCAGTAAACAAATGAATAATTAAATAAACAAGTTAATTTATAATAGTAATGAGAACGCCAAGGAAAAATTTTCAAGTAATACAGAAAATTGTAGGCGGTGTGTGTGTGTGTGTGTGTGTGTGTGTGTGTGTGTGTGGTGGGGAGAGTTGGGAGATGAGCATTGTTATAAAGTTGTCAGAAAAGTCCTGCATATGAGATTTTAATGACCTGAGAAACCAGCCATGCAAAGACTGAGTGTTCTAGGCAGAGGCAATGGCTAGTGCAAAGGCCCTGAGGCGGAAATGAGCTTAGTTCGTTCCAGGAACAGAAATAAGGCCACTGGGGCTGGAGCAGAGTGCACTTCAGTGGGGAAAGGAGATCTGGAAAGGCAGGGAGGGTGAAGTCATGTAGGGCTTTACAGGCTCGGGGAAAGGAATGGGTTTGATTCTAAGCCCAATTTGGAAGACTTGAAGCAGGGAAGCAACATCACATGGTTTGTGTTTATAAAAGATCGCTCTGGTAGTTGTATGGAGACCAGGTCATAGCGGGGTAGGAGAGGAAGCAGGGAGACCAGCTAGGGGTCATGCAATCATCCAGGTGAGAGGAATGGAAATTTGGGGGTCATGATGGCCAAGAGAATTGGATGGATTGTGGTTTGGTTTTAGAGGCAGAGTTTGCCACTTGGCTCCTCCAGGAAGCAGACACTAAGATGGGGTTGGAGGTACAAGTGGTCGGTCAGGGAGCTAAGGGCTGTGAGAGCCTCAGACCCCAACACAGATCTGACAAAGTCTTGGTCAACCCACAGGGAGCTCTGGGGTCAAGACTGCCCATTTGGGAGGCTTGACATTGTGCAGAAATTTCCCATCCCTAACACTCTTTTCATGCCCAGTCATTAGGTGGGAGCTGCCCCAGAAGAAGGTGGCTTCAGCTCAGAAGCTGGGATGATGTCCACAAAAAGTCTACACACAGATGTTTATAGGGACTCTATTCATAATTGCCAAAACTTGGAAGCAACCAAGATGTCCTTCAGTAATGATCGGATAAATAAACTAATACATCCGGACAATGGAATATTATTTGGCAATAAAAAGAAATGAGCTATCAAGTCATGGAAAGACATGGAGAAAACTTAAATGCATATTACTAAGTGAAAGAAGCCAGTCCAAGGAGGCTGCATGCTGAATGGGTCCATCTATACAACAATCGGGAGAAGTAAAATCTGTGAGGACTGTAAAAAGATCCATGGTCGCCAGGGGTTATAAGGGAGGGAGCGATGAATAGGCGGAACACAGAGGAATTTTAGGGCAAGGAGACGACTCTCTATGATACCATAATGGTGGATACACATCATTCTAGACTTACCCAAACCCATAGAATAACAACGCCAAGAATGAACCCCAATGTAAATTATGGGCTCGGGGTGGTAATGACATATCAGTGTAGATTCACTCATTGCAACAGGTGTACCACTAAGGCGTGGACCTTGGCAGTGGGGGAGGCCACGCACGTGTGGGGCAGAGGATGTGTGGGAAATCTTTGTATCTTCTGCTCAATACGGCTGTGAACCTAAAATGGCTCTAACAAACCATCAAAAGCCAGGATGGCTCCTGAAGGCTCCGCAGCTAGTGGGTGTCCACTAACTGCACCGAGTGCGGCCCTGGGGCAGGTTCATCCTCAATGGGGGAGCTGAGCAGCGCCCCTCCATGGCGGCCACAGTCCACCCCTTGCATTGTGAAGACCCACTTCTCCACACATGGTCAGGAAGCAGCTCCTCCAACGCCGCCTCCCCCCACCCCACCCCCTGCCCCAACAAGCCTTTCCTCCGAAGGGGATACTTAGAAGTGGGGGTTGGTGCTCAGTCGGTTAAGCATCTGACTTCAGCTCAGGTCATGATCTCGAGGTTTGTGAGTTCAAGCCCCGCGTCTGGCTCTGTGCTGACAGCTCAGAGCCTGGAGGCTGCTTCGGATTCTGTGTCTCTGATTCTCTCTGCCTCTTCATCCCTCATGCTTGCTCCTCTCTCTCTCAAAAATAAATAAACGTTAAAAAAAAAAAAGAAAAGAAAAGAAGTGGGGGTTGGTGGCATGAACCACAGCCTCCATCACTGCAGCTGGTCTCAGGGCCCCAGGAGGTGGTCACTGACCCCCTCCTCCACCACCCACAGTAAATTCCCCTGACCTCTGCTATTACCTCTGCCAAGAAAATATAGGGTGAATGTTCCTTCCTCCCCCTGGAATGGTGAAGTCCATGGTACAACATATCTGCTCCATAAACGTTCATTCGATTGAGATATGTCTTTTAAGAGGAGGGAGGGAGGAGGTAGAACGGGGTAGGGAAAACCTTCAGACCACGACAAAGTCACATCTAGAAGAATGGGAGACTGGCTGCTCGTTCGGTACCTGGTAATTTCTGCCACTGGCACACGGCCGACACAGACCTTGGACTCGGGGCTTCGGGTGACCAACTCATTTCAGTTTAGCACTGCGAGCCCTGTGTTCCAGGAAACCTCTCGGTCCTGGGAAGAGCAGGCCAGTCGGTCTCCCTAGCTATCTCCAAATCACACTCCCTAGTGTCGGTGCGTAACTGGTGTTGAACAGCGCAAGACCCTCCCTGTTCCTGCCCACCTGGGTCCCTGTGCTTCCCTCCACGGCATCATCTCCCGCTTTACCTGCCCTCTGCAAGACTGCGAGCCCCCCCAGGGCAGGGACCAGCTGCGTCATCCTCACTGCTGTGTCTCTGGGGTGGGCAGTTGTGGCTACTCAAGGTCGCCTTAGGAGGACAAGCCTTGGGATGTGCTTGTGAGCTAAAGAGCTTCCTTTCCTTGGGGGCGGGGAATTGGGGAGTGGGGACAAAGAGAGCTGCCAGCACCCCTCATCTCCATCCTGAGGGTCCAGTCTCCACCCAGGGATGGACTGTCCCAGGACTAGAGCCTGCTGAGGCTCCTCATCTATAAAGTGCGGTCATGATCTGCCACGTAAAGAAAAGGGGTTAAGACCAGCCGAGATGTGTGTAAAATCTCCTAGGTATTTGGGGGTAAGGACCATTCCTTGCCATGTTTTTTTGGTATGCCCACAGCACACAGCACAGTGCCTGGCACTTAGTGAATGCCCAATACGTGCTATCCCTTCCTTATTTATTCCTAGCACATATTGTGCCCATCAATGTTAATTTCCTTTTTCACTTCTCTACCTTGATTCCCTCGGTATCCATAGTTCCTTCCTCCGTAGGTGTTCTGTACCCTCTTCTTTCCACTCCTACCCCTTTTCTGAACAGGGTGGGGGATCATTCAGGCTAAGGCTCATATATGTGTTCAATCCCAGTACCCCAGCCTGGGACCTTCCAAGGGGGAGCAGGGCTCAGGCGGGGCCCAGAAATGTGTGCATATCAGCAGTAGGTTCCCAGGACTCAGAGCTGACCAGAGAGGAGGGGCAGAAGGCAGGGAAGAGAGAACTTTCCTCTCTGGGGAAGCCCAGAGATTTCCATCCAGGGTTGCTGCTTACCTGGAAGCCAACCCACCTCTCAGGCCCGGGCAGGAAGCGAGGACATCTGTTCCCAGCCCAGGAGGGGCCGAGAACCACGGAGGAAACGGGTGTCCTCCTTGCAGGGGGGCCTGGCAGTTGGCTGGGAGGTGAGTGCCTGCATCAAGGCCCAGCCAAGAGAGACCAGAAGGGGTGGCCGGCCAATAAGGCTGCGTCCTCTTTCTGCGGCGGCGCTCAGAGCTCTCTCCATCTTACGGTCATCCTGCCAGCCCCTGGGGTTCCGTCCATTCCTCCTCCCCGCACTTCTTACTCCGTGACTAGCCGTGGCAACCCTGGAGCTCCACATTATAATCGTCCCTATTCCGCTTCTGACTCGAAACTCTGAGAGGCTCTGTAATTTACCCGGGGTCGCATGGTCAGTGGATGTGCACCTGGGATTTGAACCCGGAAATGTTCAGGCGCCACATCGCTTGTTCTTGCTCTCAGAGTCCATCGGCCCCCGACCCAGGAGGAATCAGCCAAGTACATCCTGGGAGCCTCACTCCACCCTGGGCTCGGTCCACCCCCTTCTCCAGGCCCTTCCCTGACCCCGTTAGGCAGTGTGCCCCGCCCCTGCCCACCCCCGGTCGTCCCTGCACCAGTGTCTGTTGGACTGATCTGTGACTTGTGTTTCCCCCACAAGCCTGAGAACTTCTTGAGGTGTGGCACCGCGTCTGTTTCGAATCTGGGTCACTGGCATCTAACGTGGGCTCAGGGTGTTATTTACATCACGCACAGTGGCCATTTCTCCAGCTCCCCTAAGAAAGGCAGTTTTCTGATGGTGCCCAGGATTCTGCAGACACAGCGCCTGAAGGGCAGGGCAGCTGAGTTTAGGGCTCCAGGAGCCTTTTTTTCTTAATCTGGGTATGGGCCGACCCCGCTGCCTGTGTATATGACAGAAGGCCTGAGAAAGAGAAAAGGTCTCCCTGTGAAGGAGGATCAGGGCCAGGAGGACCCTGAAGAGTCAGAACAGATGCTTGTAATGGGGCTACAGGCAAGGGGGGCGGGTGCCAGGGACCCCACCTAGACGACCGTTCATGCGTATCCAGTGAGGAACCAAGGGTGGCCAGCAGCTATGTCTCAAATACCATCTGTTTCCTAATCTAGTTCAGGGCACCAAAGGCGATCCCTAGGGGAAGTGGGGGGCAGGTCGGGGGAGACTCTCCCCGAGGCTGGCAGAGGGACAATGCTGGAGAACAGGGTAGGGTGGGCCATCCTGCTGGCTGGACCCCTGATCCCGCCCGCTGACCGGCAGCCCCCTTCTTGCCCCACCTTGGGACGGGTTTGGGCTTGGGTCTCTCTCCTCTGAAGTTTGCCCACCACCAGCATCAGCTGCAGCCACTAGCAAATTGTACCCACACCCAATTTATTTTTTCAGATACAGAACCTGAGATCCGGGGAGGGAGAGGGACTTGCCCAGGATTTCACAGCAAGGAGGAAGCCTTTGACAATAATGATGAACCCTCACCCTGAGCGGGTTCTTGCTATGTTCTCAAGTGCACTGTATAGAATCACTAAAGCCTCACAGAAACCCAGTGGAATACAGATAGCGATGACGACGCACAGAGAGGCCAAGCAACTTGTGCCAGGTCCCCCAGCTGCCAAGGCAGGTTGCTGGGATTCAAACCCAGACATTCAAGCTCATGGCCACTAGGATATACCGACTTTCTGGGAGGAAGCACAGTGCAGGGAAAGCTGTTCTGGTGGCAGACCCCAGCCCGATGGGCTGGGACAGCGCTCAAGCGTAGGGCGGCAGGGGGGAGGAAAGAGGGATTTGGAGGCTGAAGCGGGGAACAGACAGAGAGGAGCTGTGCTTGGCAGGCTGCAGGGAGAAATCACTGTCCTCTGTCCCCGTGGGCGCCTTCTCAACCTGCTCTGTTGACCCAACCTTTCCCGCTCTTGGATGAAACCTCAGGCATAGCTCATGACTTTTCAGTCGCTTTTAGGTTTTACCTTATGTTTTAGATAGTAAAATAGTCTAGTCTAGTAGCAAAGCTTTAGGCTCTGTTCAAAGCTTCTCTTTTCCCTCAAATCTGTCTTAAACTCAAAGACCCGTATAAGAAGGAAGGAGGCACTCCTCATTAGGAGGGTTCTTCAGAGAACTGCCACCTGCAGTTTCCACCTGGGCAAAGTGTCCCGGGCTGGCTGGGCTCACAGTCCCCGTCGGTACCTGTCTTCCGTGCTTCGTGCCCAACCCAACACGAGTCTGTCTGTTAGGATCTCAGGCCGCTTCCCTGCTTCCTCCCCAACCAATCCTCCTGGGACAGGATCCTAATTCCAAACGATCTCAGGGGCACCTGGGTGGCTGTCGGTTGAGTGTCCGGCTTCAGCTCCCGTCATGATCTCATGGTTCATGGGTTTGAGCCCCGCATCGGGCTCTGTGCTAACAGCTAGCTCAGAGCCTGGAGCCTGCTTCGGATTCTGTGTCTCCCTCTCTCTCTGACCCTCCCCTGCTCACACTGTCTCTCTCTCTCTCTCTCTCTCAAAAATAAATAAAAACATCAAAAAAAAATTAAAAAAAAGAAACAAGGAAGTCTAGGCAGCCTCTCCCCTTTGTCGCCTCACCCTCAGAGATCCAGGGGACACATGCCCTGCCCTGGGGTTTTCTGAAGCCCCCTCACTTGGTGAGGTGGGGGAGCACTGTCAACTGGCTCTAAAAAGAGCAGCCCCCTTTCCACCCACATCCCTCCCTCCAGCTTCTTAGCCACATGGCCTTGGAGGGGTGAGGGTTGAGGAGCTCTTTGGGTCCAGCCCCTTGGCAAGTCTACACTTTGGATGGGGGTCCCTGGTCCCCATCGTCCTCAGATCTAGGGGTCTGGACTGGAGCAGGCAGCAGGAAGAGGAAGAGAAAGGATTGGTATTTCCACTCAGGGGTCTCTCAGGCATAGACACTGGGTAACAGGGATGAGTCAGAGACAAGGCGCACGGTTCAGGCCCCCTCAGTGGAAGACAGTGAGTCAGGCAGCCCCTGGGGGCCAATCTGCAGTCTGGAGGCTCATTTTGAATGGAGTCTGAGGGTGTCACATGAGGGTGGAGCAGAGGGGTTGAAAGAACGGGCTCTGAAGTGAGGGCGTTTGGGGTTCAATCCCAGCTCCGCTAACAGTGCCACCTGGGCAGGTGACTCAGCCCCTCTCTCTGGCTTCCTTGGCTGCACCACGGGAGGGTGTCCAGCCCAGAGCCTGGCTCCTGGGGCCTCAGCAGGGTCCCTGCAATCCCATGAGGAAGGGAGTATTACTTTCATCTCCTGTTTTACAGATGGGGACACTGAGGCACAGTGGAGCTGAGCAACACGCCGAGGCAGGCACACCCAGCCGAGGCAGGCACACCCAGTCAGGCAGCCCAGCTCTAGTGACCGTGCCCTCCTCAGCCACCACGCTGTGCGGGAGGATGCTGGTACGGTGGGGAGTGTGGCTGCGTGGGTTCAAATCCCACCTCTACCGTATAGGAATCCATGAGTTATTTCGCCTTTCTGGACCACACTTCCTCCATTTATATATCGTGGTTACCGCGCCCTCCGGGTTGTGAGAGTTGATGAGTTAAGCTTTGTAAAGTCTGCTCTGTATATGTTAGTTGTCCTGCGTAGAGCAATTCTGAGTTGGAAGGAGAATTAGAGGGAGCCACTCTCCCGCCTTACAGAAGAGGATGGGGGTCCGGAGAGCGACTGGCCGGCTTGAGATCACACAAGCGGTGAAGCTGGGACTCATCTGCTGTTTCTCAACTATCCTGGGCCTGTTATATGGGATGAGGCATCGAGATTGGTGAGCAGACAGCTGGTCCACCCAGACCGGAAGTCGGAGGAATGGTCAAGTCTGGATTCGTCTGTCTGAAAGATGCCTCCTCTCACCCGAGCTGGAACAGAAAGCTTTCACACGCTTTGACTCAGTTCCTTCCCCCAAACCCCCGCCCCCCCTCCCCACCCCCACCCCACCCCCCGTCCCGGCCAGGAGCCCTTTGAAGGAGGGGGAGCTTCTGGTTTCTGATGCTGTTGAGGAGCACTGGGGGCTGGAGAGGGGAAGTGACCCGACCACCTGAACCTGAATGAGGGTCTCTTGATGGTGACTGAGGTATGAAAGGCAGGCAGGTGGAGGAGGGATGAGCGTGGGGGTGCAGGTCAGGGCTGATGAGAACAGAAAGCCTCTGCCGGGCACACCACGGCAGACACTGGGCCCGGTGTCCCTGTGGGGATTGTCAAGGGAGCCGGT